CCTGCCAAAGGCAGTTGAAGGTCATGGGCTAATGTAATGATCAGTGCTGAAAGAATTAGCCTTGTAAGCATTTGAGTCTGCCCTTTGTTCCCAGAGCAGACAGATTGGGGATGAGTGTTGAGCCCCCCTGAGGAAAATGCACATTATTTACCATTTACATTATTTACCATTTACATTATTTACCATTTACATTATTTACTGGGTCACCTGCAGAGAAACTCCCTGCCTGTTGTGCTTGGTCTGTGCCTGAGGGATGGGACATCCTGGCACACCCTGGTGCTGCCCAGCACCAGGAGCAGCTCTGCAAGTCCCAGACATCATGGGAGCAGCTGTACTCAAGCCCTGGGTGTTCAGGAGGGACATCTTGAGGGGAGGGATGTTTGCTTGGGCTGTGGGTGGCGAGGTCTCGGTGCACCCACCACAGCCATGCTGCAGTTAGCTGGGTTGTTCCAGGAGTTCAGGATCTATCCAGGGCTTTGGAAAGAGCCTGAAAACAGGTGCCCTCACATGGCAGAGACAGGAGGCTCTGCCCTTTTGGGGTGTGTGGGGCACAGCCTGATCCCTGCCTGTTTACTCCCCTGCTGCAGGAGTGGTACGAGGAGCACTCCAGGAAAGAGGAATCTCAAACACCACTGCAAGAGCCTGCATCTGCTTCCAGCAGCTCTCTGAAGCCCCTGAGCCTCCGACAACGCTCCCAGACTGTCATTTAGGCCTAGCTAACGCGAGCCACCTTCTATGCAATAACCTAGAGTATTCCTCCCCAGGCTGTATTTTGGGAGGGTGTATATAGATCTGTCAGTGTACCAGTGTAGGGATCAAATCTTGCCCCAGCAGTGGTTGCTGAGAAGCCAGAGGTCTGGGGGGCTCTGGGGAAGGCTGCTGCACACAGATGGAGTGTGATGCCATGCTCAGCACATCTGGGCAGAACAGAGCCCTTGTCCCCCTGAGCCCTTTCCCAGGCTCCAGCTCCTGCTGCTTGTCTTACCACTAACAGACCTTGGGGAAAGGGATGTGTAATCCATTAACAGCAGGGAATTCGCTGAAGTCACCTGCTTAACAGCAAAACTTGGGCCCTTTTGGAAGATCCCTGTTGCTCAAAGGGTACCATTAACCTAGGGACAAAAGATCAGGGAGTGAGTTCTTGTTTCTTCTCCACCTTCCTTACGCAAAGAAAGGGGAGGTGGTGTGAGATCTCAGCACTTTGGAAGGGCAGCCTGCCCTCCCCCTCCTTTTTGGCACACCTAGATGCACTCCCTGTAGTAGCTGCAGCTCTGATTACTGAATTTCGCTGTCCCTGAGCAGTTCTGAGGCAGAACTGAGGGCCAGCACCTCATGTTATGACCACAGGTGGGACAGGGCTTTGGAGACTCTCTCTGCTGTATCTGCATCACTGCTGGTCAGTCCTGCCCATGGCACTGCCTGGCCTTGGGGTGACCTCTGCAAACCCCAGAGCTCCTGGCTGTGTTCAGGGAGGAGGATTCTGCAGGGTGATGTGGCTGTTGGGCTCTGCCACCTGCCCTGTAAAACCTCCCTGGCTGGTCCTTAGCTCGGATAAATGGCTGGGAATAGTGGAAGGTTTTGTAGCTCCAAGTTTGGCTTTTTTCTGGCTGGCTCTGGGTTAAGGAGGGCTCCTGGGCATTGCACAGTCCTGCTGGTCAGTCCTCAGTCCAGCTGAGCGAGTCCCAGCTCAGAGTGGGGCTCCTCCCTTGCAGGGATGTTTCTCAGTCAGATCTTGGGAAGATCCACTGAAGAGCTCTGCTGTTCCCCTGGATTTTGGATGCAGGAGAAGTGTGAAAGACAAGGATTCTTCTCACCTGTCTGCTTTTCTGCACCTGAGGGATGAGGAGGAAGGGAGGAAAAAGGGATGCCTTCCTAGCTCTGCCACGTTTGTGGGACTGTGGCACTCGTGTCATCAATTATTAACATTTGTCTCTCCAGGTCCCTCTTTTCCCTGTCAGCACTGGAAGGTCTGAGGGCTGGAAGTCCCTGGCAGCTGCCAGGTTCCCTCACCTCTTGCTGTTTGATCTTCCCTCGGGTTCAGAGTAAGAGTGGAGCTTCCTGGGGAGGCTTCCTCCCTCCTCCAGGTGCACCAGGCAGTGGGACATGTGTCCCCATTCCCTTTGTCCCTCATGCCTGTCCTTTCCTTGGTGGCCTCACCTCGTGGCACAAGGACAGCAGGAGAGGGCTGACCCTACCTGGGCAGCTCAGGAGCATTTCCTGGGTGGGTGAGACTTTCAGAGGGAGGCAAGACAGAGCTGCTTCTGGAAATCTCTCCCTCCATGGCACGGTGGGAGCACTTGGAAGCTTTCCAGGCAGCACACACGCACCAGTGACTGCTCCCAACCTTTGCCAAATTCCCTGGGTGCCTCGTGGTAACTTGTTGTTTCCTTTCTGGATACTTGCAGGTATGAAACTCCTTCTGAGCTGACCCATGAAGGACTTTAAAGGGCTGTTTTCCAAACCATAAATTCACCCACAGGTTAACAAGCAGTGCAGTTGTTGCTCTTGCAGTTGCTCTGCGTGGAGTCGCAGCCCGGGAGGTTGATCCAGATTAGTCCTGGGGCTGCAGGAGATGGTGTTTATTGTGCTTTAAGTTGTGGGCAGGAAGAATGAGCATTATGAAGGTTAGTGGGGGGAAAAAATGTGGCTGTGTTTAATCTCCACGTTCCCCTACAGCCGACTTCTGCTGGCAGAGCTGTCAGTGACATTTTCATTTTTGTTTTGGGTGTTTTCTGGGTGTGAAAGGAGCTGTGGCTTTAAGCTGTGGTGAGGAAGGCTCTGGCTACTGATCATGCAATAAAGGGCTCCCTGGAGGGCTGGGGGTCAGGGTGCTGCCTCCAAGGTGTTGATCCTCCCCCACACACCCGCTCTGTTCATTATTTTTGTAAAACCAAGGAGGGTGGCAGGAGTTAGCTTCTTCCATATGACTTTGGAAGGAAACAAAAGTTTGAGTACGGGGCATCCCCTTCTATTTATCCTCCTCTCCCTCCCCCGACACACAGACCGACGACGGAGACAATCATTTTGTAGGGAGCACGGGAGGAAGCACTGCAGGATTTTGTATGCTGGTGTTTTGTTTATAAAAAAACCCCGATTTTATGGACGTGTCTGTCAGATGTTCTCTAGATTTTTTTCAGGCGCACTAATAAAGAGCATCCTCGGCTTCGTAAAGGCAGCGGCTTCCTTTCCTCCTTCCTGTGCTATTCCAGAGGTGGGGTTTGGCCAGGCTGGAGCATTTCCAGTGTTTGAAGAGGAGCCTGCCCGCCCTCTCCGGTGGCAGGTGCTTGTGTTGGGAATATTTTGCCTGCATGCTGAGCTGCTCTGCATTCCTGTCCCAGAACGTGACAGAGCCTTCCCTTCCCTTCTGTTCCCCCCTGCCAGGGGGAAACATCAAGAAAACACTTTCAAAGTTGTGTTTTCTAGAGCTGCCCCGGTGCAGTGTTGAGGCCAGAAGGGGTCTTTGACCTCTGTCCTGGGATGTGGGCCAGGGTTTTTCGATTGCTTTAGCCCTGCTTGTGGCAGGAAGTGGGCGTTGTGGCCCGGAGCGAGTTCTGGACAGAGCCAATGGCTGCAGGCACAAGGCAGTGTTATTTTCTTGTGAAAGCTGCTGGTATCTGTTAGAAAAAGGAGAAATGCTCCAGGCCCAGGAGGAAAGGAGGAGGAACCAGGTCTAACAGTTGTGGTATTTGCCCAACACCCCCCTGTCCCGTGGGGCAGGGATGTGGCTGTCCCTCTGGAGTGACAATTTGCTTTCCAGCCTGTGTCCTGTGGACTCTCCAGCTGGGAGCAGAACCATCCCACCCATTCCATTCTCCTGGCACTGTGCAGGATTCCCTGTCCCCAGGGACTGAGCCCGTGCTGTGGCCATTCCCAGTGTGACAGCATGTGACTGCTCTTGGGACATCAGCTACTGGAAACCACTTCCCACCCCCTTGGGAAAAACAGCTCTGGGTGTCCCAGGCTCCTGGCTGTTCCCTCTCCCCTCCAAAGGCTCCGTGCTGAGTAAGGGCTGTGTCACACCAGCACAGAGCAGGAGGAACGGCCCCTGCAGCAGGCAGAAGTCAAGGTTGGGTTTGTGGGGGTTTTTTATTTATTATTTTTTTATTGCAACTTTTTTACAGTGCCTAAATCTAGTCCTGCCAGAGGTCAACACTGTGTGTGGAAACCTCCAAGTCCTTTCCTACAGCTCTGCCCACCCCAGGAGGAGGTGAAAAGTAGGATCTGAAACTCAGGTTAAAAAACATGAGTTAAAAAAAGCAGGGGAAACCAGCCTCCCTTGGTTTGGTGTTTGTTTTTCCCTCGGGCTTTGCCTGCACTGAACCCAGTGTGGCCCTGGAGCACTGTGTGCCCTTAACCCTGTCTGGCTGTGCCCTGTCGGCTGTTCCAGGCCACAGTGCCAACAGGGACAGTCCTTCCCAAGGACAAAAGTGTGCCTGGGCCTTGGCAGTCCCCAGCTGTGTCCCACAGCACGGCATGGAGCTCACCAGGGGAAGGTGGAGCAGCTGAGCAGGCAAAACTGCTGCTGTGCCCCTGAGCTGGAGCCTCCCCAGCCTCTGCTCCTGCCACTGCCGCCAGACACAGCTGAGGGTTTGACGTGGCTCCCACCCAGAGTTCCTTAAACTACAGGGGTTAGAGAGCGAGGAGAGGCTGTGGGCACCGGCAGCTCCTTCCCCAAAGGACAGCAGGGGCCGAGGGCTGGGCTGGCACCTCCAGCACGGTGAGGTGCCCTGGTCCCCCTGCCAGGGCCGGGAGGGGACAGCGAGAGCCCAGTGCGGTGGGGAGGCAGAGCCAGAGCCAGGGCTGGATCTGCCAGGGGGCTCACGGCGTGGAGAAGCGGATCACCCTGAACTCGGTGAGCAGGGCCACGCACAGGAACAGCAGGTAGTAGGCGATGAGGCAGGCGCCGTAGGCCTTTCCCAGCTGGAAGCACTGCGCCGGCACCGTCACGAAGGAGAACACCAGGCTCAGCCCCAGCGCCCCGGCCAGCACCCACACCAGGGGGCTGTCAGGCTCCAGCTGTGGGGAGATGAGGGTGATGTGGGGTGACACCGGCGTCCTGCTGCCAGCCCGGCCTGTGTCACCGTGTCACGCAGCCCTACCTTCACCAGCGGCTGGCTGCCGGTCATCTGCAGCAGGCAGCCCAGCCCCACGCCCACCAGGATGTCTGGAGCACGTTCAGGATGGACACACAGCGCAGGAGAGCTCCAGGGAGCACAGCCCTCTGCCCCACATCCTCCTCCTTCCTGCACCTCGTGGCTAAAGCGTTCTCTCTCTGTGCTGAATCCAACCCTGAGCACTCCAGGAGAGGCTTCAGCCCGCTCTGAGCACCACCCAAACCCCACCGGGGTGAGGCACGGTCCCCTCCCCTCCTTCCCTGTGGCACATCCCAAATCTCCATCCCAAACTCCTGCCCTGCTGGGGCAGCTGTGGGGACAGGGGGATGCTGCTGGCTCTGTCCCTGCCACCCCCAAATCCCTCAGTGTCCCCTTGCAGTGTGGCAACACGGTGGGGTGTGCCAGCACCGGGGGCACTCCGGGATGCTCCTGCCCAGCTCCTCCCCAGGGATCCCGCAGCATGAGGAGCTCTCCCTGGGCTGTAGGCAGGGAAACTGGGGCTGCTCCTGCCCCATGTGCCACCACCCTGGCATGCTCAGGATACTGAAGATGATGCCCCCGAAGCAGGCGGAGAAGGCCATGCGGGGGTAGCCCTGCCGGGCCATGGTGAGGTCGGAGAAGGTGTCTGTGGAGGGAGAAAAGGAGACCTTGAGGATGGCAGGGGGACCCCAGGGTGTGCCGGGGGGGCACTGTGGAGCAGCAGAACCCTCACCACCGATGCTGTTGCCCCAGGCCAGCAGTGTCAGGCCCAGCACAGTGTTGCTGAGCTGGAAGATGATGCCCAGGGTCCGCAGGATGTTCACCAGCTCCGTGGCCGCAGCGTTGATCCACATGGCACTGGCCAAAAAGCCAAGGAAAGCAAACACCTGACAGGAAGAGGAACAGGCTGGTCCCTGTGTGCATCACCCAGGACCCTGCACACCTCCTGGCATCCCTCTTGGAGACTTGGCAACTGGGAGAGAGGTTTTCTCTCACAGCTTCCTGCTGTGCCCCAGTACCCTCAGCCCATTCTGGAGCAGGCTGTGCTGGTCCCTGGTGGGTGTTCAGGGCGGGGAGACACCTTACACAGTGATACTTGGGTGGCTCCTCATTGCTTGTGGTGATGAAGATGATGAGGGCCAGGGCAGAGGCAACCAGTGTGACCAGTCCCCAGACTGGGAAGATGCCCTGGATCTGGTACAGCCCATCTGCACAGGGTGGGGAGAGGAGGCATCTGAGAGGCTGGGACAGGATCCCACCAGGCTTGAGGCTTTCCCTAGGCAGGCCAGGCCTGCTCCTGGCCCAGCCCCCCACCCTTGTGAGGGTATATCCAGCTGCAAACACAGCTTGGCTCTCCCCTGCCCATCCCTCCTCCCCACAATGGGACCAGCTCTGACAGGCTCCTGCAGTCCCCAGGGCTTTGGTGGCCATCTCAGCCCTGTCCCCTTCTGGAAGCTGGGACTGCCCCGGGCTCTTACAGGCGCCTGACTTCAGGGTGAGGACGCAGAGCAGGGGGCTGGTGAGGATGTGCAGGCAGTTGAGGGGTCTCCTCCAGTTCAGGTCATCCTTGTCGGGGTCCACAACGGGAACGGTGAGCAGCAGCACCAGCTCCACGGGCACCTGGTACGGGGGACACCCATCTGGGACACCCTGCGAGGTGCCCCATGACCTGCTCCCGACCCCACTGCCCCTGTGCCACCACCCCCACTGCAAAGCCCTGGGGGGACAGAGCCCCAGGGGCCAGCAGGGATGGGGATGCTCCTTGGGGGGCTCCTCCTGGCTCGTGTTCCCCCCTGCTCACCTTGAAAGCCTTGAAGAGCCTCCAGTACCAGGGCTTCCTCCTCCACTTGCGGTAGTCCAAGGGGCTGAGGGCCGTGGTGAGGATGCGCAGGGAGGTCTCCTGGGAGGGCAGCAGGGGCCGGTACTCCTCCGCTGTGAGGGGCCACGGGGACTCAGTGGGGTGGGGGCTCCCTGTCCTCCCCAGCCCTTCCAGCATGGGGCTGCAGTTCCCTGTGTGTCCCCAGGGAGCTCCCCCTGCCCCAGGGGCTCAGTCACACCTGCAGCAGCCTGGGGGGGCTCTGGGACCCCCGAGGACTGAGCAGAGGCAGCCCTGAGCCCACAGGGAACAGCGTACCATAGTCCCCACTGTTTGTGCCCGAGGGCTCCGGCTCTTCCACATCTGTCGGCATCTCTGTGGGGAAGAGGAGCGGGCAGGGGCACTGGAAGGGGACCCCAACACAGCGGGGGTCCCATCCCAGCTGGGCAGCCCTTACCTGGCTCCCAGGGTCCGGGAGGGGCCAGCCCGTCCCCCCGCTGCCGCCGGTGGATCCAGGTGCAGAGCACCATGGTGAGCACGTAGAACACGTAGAGCCCCAGGTACCCTGAGATGGGGGAGTCATGGGGGGGTCACGGCACCCCCATCACCCCCAGGCTGCTCCCACCATCCCCAACTCCCACAGCGCTCACCCAGAGCCTCTCCCAGCCTGATCCTGCCCAAGTAGAGGACCACGAAGGTGAGGAAGACGGCCACCATGTAGAAGATGACGTCCCTGAGGAAGGGCCTGGAGGCGGCCGTGAAGGGCTTGACCAGGGCGATGCCCCCGGCCACCACCGTGGTCACAAACACGCCGGCACCTGCCAGCACAGAGGGACCTCGGCACACGGGAACATCCCACAGCTCCCAAGTGCCACCCCACGAGGACATGGCAGCGGGGTCTCCTTACCAAAGATGGCCCCGATGGCCAGCCCCGCTGTCCGGGGGTTGGAGAAGGCCACCATAGCACTGAAGACATCAGGTGCCCCGTTTCCAAAGGCCAGGAATGTGACACCATGGAGAGGGGATGTCAAGGAAAAGGCCTGGTGTCCTCCTCCCCGTGGGGACTGTGTACTCCTGTCCAGTGCCAGCACATGACCACTTGTCCCGCTGTCACCTCCAGCTCACCCTCAGAACTGGTTGCCCCTGGCATGATGCTGAGGGGACTCAAAGTGACCCTGTCACGGCCACCTCCCCTGCCCTGTCCCCACACCCCCCCTGGCTGAGGGCCCCTGTGATTTGCCAAGGATACTGCCACGTTGTGGGACAGCTTCAGGTTGGTGGAGATGGCTGATAAATTGGGGCAGAAGCTGGAAGGGCAGAGAAGGAGACAGAGAGAGGTGATGGGGCTGCTTGGGGCTCCTGGTCACTCTGGGGACAGTCCCCTCCTCTGCTGGGCCACTCACAACTTCTCTGCCGTCACACCGAGGATGACGAACAGGTACAGGAGCCAGAGAGCCTGTGGGGTCAGGGGTGGCACAGAGAGGGGTCACGGGGGTCCCCAGCACACCCCCCCACAGCAGAGCATCCCCAGCAGTGCCCTTTCCCGTCCTTACATAGAGGGTGACAGCCAGGGGCAGCAGCCGGGGCGGGAAGACGCAGAAGACCCCATGGAGGTAGTCGAGGAAGCCCCCGTCCAGCCGGCAGTCGGGGTTGCTCCGGATGAAGTGGCACCACTCGGAGCTGTTGTGCTTCCGAACCTCCCAGCACTGCGGGGCACGGGGGAGGCTTGGCCGGGCCCCCCGAGCTCCCACCGCCCCCACAAGGGCCGGATGGGGCTGCTTTTGGCAGGTCATTGTTAACCCTGCCTCAGTTTCCCCACCTGTGCTACATGTGCGTGGGTCGAGGGCTGTGCCAGGGCCGGCAGAGGTGGAAACCTTTGTCCCCACCCTGTCCTTGTCCCCACACAGCCCACACCCACCCCGGGCCATGGGAAGGCGCCGGCCTGGCAAGCAGTGAGGTTTTCGGAGGAGAAAACCAGCAGCGGAGGAAATCCTGGTGAGATCCCTGCTGCGATGGCGGGGTCATGGAAGCAGGGACGGGACGGGACCGCAGCACCCCGGCAGCACCCAGATCCCTCCCGGCGTCCCCCCCAGATCCCACCGCACCCCCAGACTTACATCCAGGCCCCGTCCGTGGCTCAGAGCATCCCCCCCGGGAGGCATCGTGTGCCCCACGTCCAGCAGCAGC